AATAGGTCTTTTTAATGATTATGAAATTGAATTTAAATTTTACTTAAAAATATGACACAAACGTAAACCAGGCACTTACTATTTTATTGTCAGCTTTCTTTACAGTTTTAAATTTAGATGACCAACCTTTACTTCAAAACAAAATGTATGTTTCTAACACAAATCTCTAAAATTCTTTGGTGGTATTTATTGATGATTGTGGCTTGAGATCTAAAATTTTTAAACAAGGCCTGACTAGGCCCCCTCATTTTAATCATCTGGTGAAAGGCTTATGCTTGCTAAAACATTTTAGGACTAATTGCAACTTTTAATTTTAGGTGCACTAATAAAAATAATTTCAAGGAGTCATATAACACTGAAACTCAACATATAAGGATTAGTTTGTGGATAGATTAACGACTAAGTAGTCTCTCCATGATATAAAATCAGAAAACTAACTATAAAAGATAAAACTACTCTTTCCTTACCACCTAGTAAAACTTTGAGGAGAAGAAAAGAATTACCAACATAATTCTAGCTTTTAGTTTTTGTTTCAGGAATCCTCAGTTGCAAAGATAAGGCATAGGATCTCTGAAGTATCACGCTGACTTACGTTTTATGTTTTTCAAACTACAGGTGACATGTCATCAATAAACAATATGAATAACCATCAACTGACTCATCTACAGTCACTGTTAAACAACAATCAGATGTTCCCACCAAATCAGCAACAGCAGCAGCTTCTCCAGGGGTACCAGAATCTCCAGACATTTCAAGGACAGTCCACAATTCCTTGTCCAGCAAACAATAACCCCATGGCTTGTCTGTTTCAAAACTTCCAGGTACTCTCCTTCCCTGGGTTACTATAGTAGAAAACAATGTCTGGGTTTGTTTAAACCCTTAATTTGGATAAAGGAGGCTATGTACCCTTTCACCTCTACTCACTGTTGTTTCTGGATAATGAGCATTGTTAAACATTCCAGCCTTTTGTGTGAAGGTTATTTTATTTTGTCTGAAGAATGTCCGTGGTCCTTTGGAAGCTGTTGGTAAAAACTGATCATGGTACCCTCTTAAACCCTTTTGTGGTTTCCCATTGCTCTCATGACCCACATCCTTAGCATGTCCACCTGGCCTTGCACACTCTGGCCCCTGGCCCCCTCTCCAGCCTCTGCTGTCACCACTGTCCCCTACCTTCAGCCACATGGTCTTTCTTTAGTTCTATAAACTGAATAAGTTCTTGATCGACTACAGACCTACATGGAGAGATTAATACTAAATAAATATAAGAAGAAAATATAGAAGATTTTTTTTTATAATCTTGAAGTGGAGAAGGTTCTTTAAGCAAGATGTAAAACCATGGACTCAAAAAGAAAAGGAGTAGCAGGGCTGAATACATAAAACTTTTACATCTCTCTATGATAAAGGATATTCTAAGCAAAGCTAAATGGCAACCTGGGAGAAAATATTTGCATAACATGTAACAAAGAATTAACATCCGTAATATAAACAGAGCTCCTACAAATCAGAAAGATAATTGGTTAGAAAATGAGCAATAGGTGTGAACAGGTATTTCACCGAAAAAGAAAGACAAATGATTAATAAACATATGAAAAGTTATACAAATTACAACACTAATGGAGCCATCAGATCAATGGTACCCATTACTGACAAGAGTGTAGGGAAATGGATTCTCTCAGATATATTGTTGGTCTGACTGTATGCTGGTATGGTCCTTTTGGAGAATAATTTCATAGTATATCAGGTTTTTAAATGTACATATTCTTTGACCCAGTAGTTCAACTTCTATGTATTTATCTTAGAGAAATCCTCACAAGTGAACAAAAGTGCACATACCTAAATGTTCATTACAACATTATTTGTAGTGTCAAAAATTAGAAACCACTAATTTTTGGTTCACCAATGGGGAAATAGTTAAATGTATGATGGTATAGCCATCTATCTAGTAGTTTAAAAGATTAGGTAGACTTATATGATCTGACATGGAAAGAGCTCCAAGACTGCAAAACTCCATGCTCAAGTACTGCAAAACAATACTGCAGTACAGTCCCATTTATGAGAAGGGAGGGAGGGAAACTAGGTACACACCTACACATCATAATGTATTAGAAAATCGCTAAAGGATGCACCCAAATTGGTTACTTCTGAGAAAGGAAATGGGATTGGGGTGAGGTAGGAAAATATGGGCTTGGGTGGGGAGTAGTGATGAAGACAAATTTTCCCTTTATTGACAGTGAGAAAATATTTGTATGTTACTTGTGTAATAAAATAGAAAGGAAGTGGAAATGTTCAATCATGTAATAGAGAAAACAAGATAAGACCTGAAGAGAATCCATTAATTAGATTTTGCGATTAGGAAATCCCTGGTGACTTGGTGGAATGCAGTTTTGGTGGAGTGGTGGGAGCAAAAGCCAAACTGCAATGAATGGAAGAGTGAGTGGGAGGTTAGGAATTAAACAGTGTGAATTACTGTTTCAAAAATTTAAACTATGAAGAACATAAGAGAAATAGAGCAGCGCTCCGAGAAAGGCATCAGATTGAATGCAAGCTTTTAGAATATGGAAGCCGTGCACATAGTCATATGCTAAAGGAAAGAGGCAGAAGGGTAGAAGATGTTGAACAGAAAGATGAGAAGGGGTAACAGTTGAGGCAAGATCTTTGATGAGAGAGGTTGGGATTCAGAGCATAAATGAAGGGCTTAACCTTAGACAGGAGAAGAGGCCCCTCTTACACTGAGAAGCAGGGCAGGATTAGGGACACATAGTTGCAGAGAAGTGTGTATTGCCAAGGAGCAGGGAGTAGCAGAGTGTAAGAAATTATGAAATCTCCATTTTCTCTGTTTAGTATTCTTCTAAGAATACTGCAGGAGATGGTATAGTAGCAGGCTTTAGAGGCTAGATGAAGACTTGAATAGTTGTGGAGAAATGCAAGTGATACTTAACTGGAGGATCACAGGATTAATGGGCAGCACTGAGCCCCCAGCTGAAGTTGGAAGTCATATATTCCCGTAGACAGCATTGCTTAGCATCCTCACTGTAGCTATCAATCGGGCAGACAGTTGCATTGATCCAAGATTGGGATTTCATCTGGTAGGCCTAGACAGAGGATAATGGCAAGAGAGTAGTTGATGGATCCCGGGTTCTGGTTTAGTAGGCAATGATGTGAAGACAGGAAGGGATTGGTCACTGGGGGGAAAAATTGAGGTATCAAGGAACTGGAGCAGTAATTCTTATATGGGTTGGTAAAATTAGAATAACCTTAGAGACTTTTGACAACTGCACTCATCCTTCCTGCCTTGAGATTCTAGTATGCTCCCCTGGTGGACATTCCCTCCCTTCACCTCTTTCCAACTGAGAATCACTTCCATGGAAAGCCATTGTCACTGTTGAGAGCATGTCATTTTGATCAGCCAGTGGCCCGATAGGGGTTGAAGAGCTGGTGTTGCTACCCCACCTGAAGACTTCAAAAATTGAATGTCATATCAGAAATATTTTATTGTTTAAGAAAGGAATGCAGGTATTTTGTTTTGTTTTGTTTAGTTAAATAGAAATATAGTGAGTTAGAAATCATTTTAAAATTCTGGTTCCCTTTTTAATTTGAACAGTGCTGGTTTGGTTATCTATGACTTGACTATCTCTTTGAATCCCACGTTGCAAAGATCTTTAATGACACTAAATATGTGGAGAATCACTTGAAAACATTTTGTGTCCAACCACTCCAGGTTTAATTTTTCTAGAGAATGTTTGGTAATGATTAAAAAAAAAAGCCGTTGAATGATTTCAACCAAAGAAACAACATCCAAATATAACAAAGACATACACTGGTGGATTCAAACTGCCAACCTTTTGGTTAGCAGCCATAGCCCTTAACCACTGTTCTACCAGGGTTCCTTTCTAGACAGAGGGACTTTTAATTCATTTTTGAATCTTGTTCTTTCTTTATATTTCCTTTCTTGTTATATCTTTTTGTCTTTTGGTAAATCTTGAAATTATGGTCTGTCTCTTTGAGGCCTTTAAAACTTTTGCTCTCTCTCACTGCATCCTCTCTGTTTCTTCAAGGTGAGAATGCAGGAAGATGCAGCTCTCCTAAACAAAAGAATAAGCAGTCAGCCTGGGCTCACAGCACTTCCAGAGAATCTGAACACTACACTTCTACCTTTCCAAGATACACCTTGTGAGTTGCAGCCGAGGATTGACCCACCTCTTGGTCAGCAAGTGAAGGATGGCCTTGTTGTGGGTGGCCAAGGTGATGCTTCCGTAGATGCCATTTACAAAGCAGTTGTTGAGGCAGCCAGCAAAGGAATGCAGGTTGTCATCACCACTGCAGTCAACAGTACAACTCAGATTAGCCCCATTCCAGCTCTGAGTGCCATGAGTGCCTTCACTGCCTCAATTGGTGATCCATTAAATCTCTCCAGTGCTGTCAGTGCGGTCATTCATGGACGAAACATGGGAGGTGTAGATCATGATGGTAGGCTGAGGAATACAAGAGGGGTTCGGCTGCCCAAAAATCTGGACCATGGGAAGAACTCAAATGAAGGAGATGGGTTTGAGTATTTCAAGTCAGCAAGTTGCCTCGCATCCAGAAAACAGTGGGACGGGGAGCAAAGCCCTGGAGGAGAGCAAAACAGGTGGAAATGCGAGGAATTTTTAGATCATCCAAGCCACATCCATAGTAGTCCTTGTCATGAAAGGTCCAACAATGTCTCTACACTGCCATTTCTGCCTGGGGAACAGCACCCAATAATGTTACCACCAAGAAACTGTCAAGGGGATAAAATTCTGGAAGAAAATTTCAGGTATAATAACTACAAAAGAACTATGATAAGTTTTAAGGAGAGACTAGAGAACACTGTGGAAAGATGTGCACACATTAATGGGAACAGACCTCGACAAAGTCGGGGCTTTGGAGAGCTGCTAAGCACTGCAAAGCAAGACCTAGTCCTAGAGGAGCAGTCTCCAAGTTCCTCAAATAGTTTGGAAAGTTCTCTGGTCAAAGACTATATCCATTACAATGGAGACTTTAGTTCCAAAAGCATTAATGGGTGTGTGCCTAGCCCTTCAGATGCTAAAAGCATTAGTAGTGAAGATGACCTAAGGAATCCAGACTCCCCCTCTTCAAATGAGTTGATACATTATAGGCCAAGGACGTTCAACGTTGGCGACTTGGTCTGGGGCCAAATCAAAGGACTGACTTCCTGGCCTGGAAAATTAGTAAGAGAAGACGACGTTCACAATTCATGTCAACAAAGCCCCCAGGAAGGGAAGGTATACCAATCCTTATCCATTGTCAAATACTAACCTTTGTTCAGATATCAATTATTGTTTTATGTTATCATCACTTTGGATTCTTTGAATTTGAAATTAGGATTCTTCATGACTCACTGAGGTCTCACAAAACTTCTGGAGCATAGAATGAAGAGGGGAAGGTTGTAGTCAACAAAATGCTATATTGACAAGGGATGAGTTGTAGATCCCATTAGGGTTCAGGGTGGTTCTAACCCAGGAACAAAATTTCCAGAATTTTGTTAATTCTGCCTTCCTTCCCTGCATTTATGTAGTCCTTCCTTCCAAACCCAGAGGAGGAAAGCAAGTGGCAAATGACTGGAAGAAAAAATCTGGTAGCCATTGACAGTCTAGGAGGGTGGCAGAGCTACTCCCCCACCCCCGCCACCACCAGGCGACAGGAAGTGCACCCCTAATTGTCAAGAGGCAAACCCTCCATTTGCTTACATTTGACACATAGAGCTGTGGAGGGGTAAAGCCTGGGTGGAGTTGCAGCCGTTTCTGGAAGCAGCAGGTATGTCTGAGTTCAGAACGGTGTCTCCTTTCAGGAAAAGATCTGGGCCTTTATAACATATGGAAATGTTTAACCCCATAGTCTGGTTCTACTTAACACAATTTGATCATATAAATTAAATGAAAACTCCTCCATGAAACTACTATTCAATTTAGAAGAAATTAGTAAGGGTTTTCTGGGCTTTTTTTCTCCTCACAAATGGTAGAATTGGCTGACTAGGCAAGAAATACAGAGAATGTTTAAAGTCGATAGAAAATTTTATTTCTGACCAGGAAGAGATAATTATACACATTCCCCCCATATGATGAAAAAACATAATTTTTTGTTTCCTTAGGTATTAAAAATTATTCTTGCAGGTATATATATATATATATATATAATTCTCTTAAAGAGTGTATTGTATAAAGCTATTTCAGTTCTGCTCAAAATTCCACTGGCACTTAGGTTTAATGGCAGGAAACCAAAAGCATTTTTGCCATTACAATAAAAGGATTGTCTTTCTCCAAATGACTAGGAGGTCCTTAAACCCTTTGCTTATAATGCCTAATATATACTTGTCAGGATACACTCTGGGCATAAAGTTTCTATGTTTGATAAGAAAATGAATTCCATACTCTTAATCACAAAGCATTTTATTCTCTATACTTTGCAAGGCCAGACAAGCATTCTTTAGGTTGATAAGCCTAAATATTTTTGACAGTTTATTCAAGAAATAGTTAGAAACAGCAATAAAACAGGCTTTTATGGTATAAATGGTACTGCTACAAAGACAAGATGTAGACATTGAACTGTTTTACAGTCTCTGTGCAAATGTCTTTTATATGTGCCATTTTACAAACAGCTTAACTAAAGAAAAGATTATGGCCTCCCTTCCTGGAAATGTTCTTCCTGTCCTAAATCCCTTATCTAAATATCTTTTTATATCCTCAGGAGAATAAAAGCATATACTTTTAATACATTTCACTTTAAACAATGGTCCTACTCTTCTGATTAATTTGAGTTCACAAACTTCTGAGATTGAGTTAGTCACTGATGTTCAGGGAGATGTGCTTTTTTTTTTTTTTTTAAATCATTATCTGAGCATCCAAGAAGCAGTTATTTTTATTCATTTAAATAAGCAACTGGTTTTCACTCACTATAGAATAATAACAAATGTTTCTAAAATCTAGATTTGTCTTTCTTATTAGCAGTAGGTTAATTCCTACTAGGGAGTATAAAATTGTTTCTGTAAATTGAAATATCCCCCCTCCCGCTGGTTTACATTGTAATTTTACATTTTCAAAGAAAAACCTTAATACGATAAAATTATTTTTAGTAATTCAGAAAAAAAAATAATGTACACATTTAGAGGTAAAAAATTGAAAGCATGTAATAAAATAGTAATGATAATACATGAAGTATTTATCATTAAAAAGCAAGTTATGACAGCCTTAAAAGCTCTAGGACACTCAACGTATTTCTAAAACCTCTAGTTCTTTCAGGACCTACTGCATTTTTTTGCACATAAAAAACCAAAGTACTGCTTCACAACACCTTTTTCCTCCTGCTGTTCACAGAACAAAGGAAGAGCTTCCTCATACCTTATTTAATGATGGCCAGCAAGCCAAACAATGTTCTCCTTTTACAACACCAGAAAAGAAATTTCAAACATAGGTCTGTCTGACTCTAAGCCAAGTGACCTTTGCCTGATTTCTTGATGACCCTGGTTCATCAAGAAAAAATTAAACTATGTTCAATATCTGTATAAGACAAAGTATGATATATTCGAGAAGGATTTCCAGTAAAATATGTTTTATTTGTACTCTTAAACAATTGAACCAGTTATGATGTAAATGTTATTTACATAAAACCCCTTTATCCCCAGCAATGTTGGATAAATGAAGTCTTGTGGATTAATAAGCAGACTTCTGCTTTTAAAAAGGTAAGCAATGCATTAGTTTCCCTTCTATATACTGTGACAACACCTGACAGTATAATAAAGGCAAGAGACTTGACTCCATGAACGATATGTTTATTAAAGTAAAATCTTATTAACTCCACCTTGCTAATGTGGGACCATTTTCTCCTAGTGTTTATCTTTGTAGTGTCTCAGAAGAGTTTGCTAAACAATTTTCTTACACATCATTTTAAATCTTTTTTAGCCTGTGAGCTCTTCATAATCTATTTCTGTGCCCACCGAAGTAAATTAATCCAAGATTCTGCCGGATCTCACCAGATAAAATCTATGTTAATTCAAGTTTTAGAATAAATTTGTTATCCTTCCATCCCACAAACCTATCATTTATTATCTTCAGTTATATTCTTTGTTCTCACAAGCCACTTCAAGTTCTTTTTGGAAGCAGGCAAAGTAGAAAAAATAAATAATTAACAGGATGGCAAGTTACTAATTCAAAGCAAGCCAGACACCACTCCATGTTTTCAGGTTGCGTGAGTGGTCTCTGATCTAAGCCAGGCCAATGCTGGGATCGGAGTACTGATATTTGCCAAGGGCCGAGATCGCCGCATTGTCCATAAATGGATATTTTAGCTGTGTTTGTCATAATAGTAAATGTCTTGGTCAGCCTCTGATCTTAGAAAGGCATTTTTAATCTTCGGTGGGGTATTATATGTAGCTGAATTACTGATGATGCATGAGTAATGTTCTGCAGTTTCTGAGATGATTTCCTAAGAGGTATGATTTCCAAATATCAAATACTATATGAACACAGTCTACAGAAAACTAGAGAGAAAGCAGGGTGTGGCAGAAAGAGACATGGGCTTTGGGCATTCTGACATATATAAAACCAACTTATCTGAATGTTCCTAGGTAGGTAAATTAATTTCCCAGAGCTGCAATCTCCTCACCTCACAAGTGGGAATACTAAATCCTACTCAGAACGATGTTTTAAGAATTAAATAAGATTCCATAGATTATCTAGCATGTGATGGAGGTTCAGTAAAAACTGGTCTCCTCACCTTGTTCTTTAAGACAACTTTCTTTATTTGGATTTCACCACATATAGAATTGTGGTAATTTGACCTTAGTTATTGTTTACCTATGCATTACTGCCAAATAAAGGATTTACTAATCAGATTGTGGTTAAGCGTTTGGCTGCTAACCAACAGGTCGGCAGTTCGAATCCACCAGCCACTCCTTGGAGCCCCTATGGGGACAGTTCTACTCTGTCCTATAGGGTAGCTATGAGTCAGAATCGACTGGATGGCGATGGATTTTGTTTTGTTTTTTTTTAACCTGGTTGAGAGTAAAAGGATTATAAGGAACATATTTAATGTGTGAATTAGTTCACAACTATTTTTATGAACTTTAGCACATTGCATACAAATCGGTATATCTGATTATAAGTTAATATTAGCTGTTAATTTCAAGCAAGAGCTCTGCTCTTAAGCACCCAATTTGTTAAGTGAACTTGAAAGTCCACCTTCCCAATGTTTTTCAAAATGTTATAAGCTCAAACTTTCATCCTCTACCTTCTAACCTTACCCAACAACAATATTAATGTGTGTCAGAGTAGAACTGTGCTCCATTGGGTCTTCATGGCTGTGACCTTTCAGAAGCAGATTGCCAGGTCTTTCTTCTGAAGCATCTCTAGGTGGATTTGAACTGCCAACCATTATGATCAGCAGCACAGCCTTTAACCATTTGTGCCAACCAAGTGCTCCTCAGGGGGTTATAACGGTCTGTGGAAAGTTGCACCAAAGCACCCCTATATATTACTGTTTCGATATCAAAGCCACCTGACACCACAGGAGGATGGCAATATGTGTCCTGTAGTATACAGTTTAGGCAGTGGTATCACCTTACTAAGTTTTTTCCTTTGGTTTCCAGTTTGCTGTGAAGTACACTCTGGGAGATATTTCTACTTGTGCTAATGAGCAGTGCAACTTTCTCTCTGAACCATGAACCCTTTATAGTTCACTGGCCAAGGATAAGATTTGTGCTGTTCCTCAGTATAGTCATGGCCAGATAGAGGTACTTCCAGATCTTGGTACAGTGTTAGGAGATTCTTGGAAAGGAAAATAGCTACCCCTGGCATTGCACCTACAAGTCATAATGTGCAAACATTTCAAGCTTATGCAACTGTGGAGGGAAAAGGGTTATCTTTATGTGCTTTTTTCAATAATTATATAAAAGTAGGAAAAATGCTCTTGTTTTCTAAAAATATATTTTATAATTGTCATCTGCCATCTTTGAGCTTACATTAACTAGCCTAAAAGGGTTGCCTCTCAAATAGTAATCCAAAAATTAAATCTTTTTTTTCTAGATAGATCATTTTTATTCTTTTTGAACTTTGTCCCATTGTTCTTCATATTTTTTTGCTTTCTCATTTGATGTATATTCTGGCCCAAGTCAAATTTAGGAAAGAATTTATTATTAGATTGGCTCCAAAATGTTTCTTTTCGATGAAATGTTTGTTGTTTTTGGGCAAGTAGCGACATCTCCTGATTAACAAGAAAAATTCTATATTTAGGTGCAATACCACCTGATTAATGAAGACATGTTTTTAAAAGCATTGGTATGTAGGGTGCTCCCTCTCTTTAGAGTCACCCTTTGACTTTTTTCCTCACACTTATATTTGGCAAGTAGAGATAAAAATAACTCTCTGAATAGTCGTTCAAAGCAGAGAAGGCCTCATCATTATTGAAACTCATTACCAAATTTATTTTGGGGTTTTATACTTTCTCTGTGTCAGTTCAGCATCACAGGCACACAGGTTTTGACAGCATGGAGCATAACCAGAGACAGCTTACCCTTGCATTCTGGGCATGTGTAACTAAGAAATTGAGCCTGGGGACTAAATCTGGGAGGTATGCACTCCTGTGATGTTTAAACGTTTTACTTTGAAGACGTTCTTTCTGTGCTTGATCATCAGTGTTAGCTGTTTGTATTCTTTGCTACTATAATTCTCCTTTGAAAGTGTTCTTTGTGTATTCTCTTTACCTTACATATTTTCTTAACTGCTGTTGGAAGTGAAGCCTCTTCTTTATACCCAGTCAATATCCACAATATTTGGGCTGGGTTTTGGCTGGTGGGGTGGCAGGGGCAATCAATGCTCTGTCAGCAACAGTATCTCCTTGAAAAGGGAGCAAAGTAAGAGACTGGTTTTTGAAAAAGGATAAGAAAGATAAAATTCGAGCTAACAAAGTCAGTGCCTGATGAAAATTAAAAAAATAATAAAAGTGGGAAACTAGGTAAGACCAAAAATGTGAATATTTTTTAAGAAATATTAAGCAAAAGATCAAATAGTTAAAAAAAAAAAAAAATAAACCTCAGGTATGATTGTAAACTTTACAGTGGAGAATTGTGGAGTATTGTGAACTTTTCTTTCCTGAGCAACATAAACAAGGAAAACGAGACCTATCTCCATTCACAACAGTAACTGAGACCCGGCATAGAGCTCATGAGCGTGTCACTACGGTTTTCATATACCTGGTTGCCATCAAGTCGATTCCAACTCATAGCAATCTTATAGTACAGAGTAGAACTTCCCCACAGGGTTGTTAAGGAGCGGCTGGTGGATTCAAACTGCCAACCTTTTCGTTAGCAGCCGGGCTCTTAACCACTGTGCCACCAGGGCTCCAGTTTTCATATAGATAGTAGCAAATGGAATCTCAGGTCTGAGGCAAATACATGCTTCTGTTACATGAACTTGTAAAGTGTACCTTCAGAAATACGAGTTTATTTAAAACATTTAATTCTATGTATATGTTGGGGATCAGCATGAAATTTGTCATCACATTTAAAACAGTTTTACCCTAGTCCTCCTGTAATATAGTTCTCTAGCACTTAAAAACTCCTACCCAGGGTGAAGGGGAAAGGAAGCACAAGGAAATGCCTCAAACAGTGCCACTGACTATAACTGTAATAATGTGGTATGGTTAGTTCATTTGAAAAACAGAGGATTCATTTAAGGGATTTTTCTATGAATATTGTTGGAAAATTAGGTTTATTCTCTCTGTCACAGGTGAGTCAACTTTTTATCAAATTATTATTTATCATTCTCATTCTTTAAAAAATACTAAAATATTGCACTGAAGTTAACAGGACTTTTTCAGTTTGAAGATGTTATTTTTAAAATATTTTTAACTGTTTATTATTATTTTAGTATTTACTGTTTAATAAATATTTGATAATAATGAACCTAATAAATGCCTCATATTTGCTTATTGCTTCAGAGCAGTGTTTCCCAAAACTTCAGCTAAAGCTATGTGTCACTTATACTATTATTTACTTAAAAAAATTTTTTAAATTCATTTCTTTATTCATTGAACAAATACTTATTGGGCACATAATATGTACTAGGCACTATTTAAGCCACTTTTAAATTTAAATAACTTCCTCTGCCTTATTTCTAAGTTATAATATGTATAAAATAATCGGCATGTTATTTGTATTTTTCCAATATTAATTTATATGAATATGTAACTATTAAAAATATTTAAAGGTTTGTTCTTGTTCCCCCTAAGAGTTTTACACGCCACCACTGACACTATGAGAAAGACTGCTTTTGTGTTTATAAAGCACCTTCATGCTCATTGTCTTTTGGTTCCTCTCAATAACCTTTAAAGATGTGCACAAAATCATTTCCATTTTACAGATGAGAGCACTGAAGCTCAGAAAAGTGGCATTCCTAATGACACACAAATTATAGGCAGTTAAACCAGGCCCCAGCCTTGGTCTTCTAACTCTAAGCTGAGTACTCTTTCCATTATGCTATCGCCCAACAACAGGAGCTGGTGACATTGCAGAAATGGAATGGGAAAGTGAAGAAGGAAAGAGGGAGCTTTTGGTCAGCTGCCTTATCTCTTTTGAAATTGTACCTGTGCTGTGGCTTGTGCTCCATCCTTTGACCTTTGTGTGGCAGCTTCACCTTAGCACTAAAGAAGCAGCAAAGTAATCACCAAGAGAGATGTTATCAGGATTAAAGCCTGCAGGGGATTTTGACATCATCTCTAGTTAACTGGCTCTGTTCAAAAGTGGTCTACCATCATTGATCCAGGCTCTTCTAATATGCACAGTACCTTACTTTCAGAGGATCAGTTTGGCTTCTGAAAGGTTTGTGTCTCATCTTATCATAATACTCTTAAGTTACTTCTGACATACATTACATGCTGCTATACCTGTTAACCAAATGAAACCCATTGCCGTCAAGTTGATTCTGATTCATAGCGACCCTATAGGACAGAATATAACTGCCCCATAGGGTTTCCAAGGAGTAGCTGGTGTATTTGAACTGCCGACCTTTTTCTGGTTAGCAGCCAAGGTCTTAACCACTGTGGCACCAGGGCTCCACACGCTACTATACTGACCTCCGAATCAAGCTTAATTAAATTACCAAATGTTTAATATGTGTTTTGGAAATAAAATAAGCAACCAGAGTCAGACTTTTGCAGAAGAACTCAATCCTCCACCCTATAATACTGTCTGGCCTTATGAATATGGTTTTAACCTGATTGAACAGGCTGTAAAACTACAAGAATTTGAATGAGTAAAAGAAGGGTTTTAAGAGTAAAAAAATATTTAGTGTATGTGTATATTTATATGTGGTAAATTTATATGAGGTAATATGCGAACTATAAATACACACTTTGGGAAACTTTTTGTAATTCTTAAATGACATGTATAAAGAGTTATACTGTGATGGTCAGTGCTATTATTATTATCATCATTAGAATGAGAATATGCAGGCAGATTATGAGTAACATACAGTCGCCTCCCAATTTCTTACCCAGATAATAAGTAAATAATTTATGGAACTCCGGGCTAGTGGGTGTTCTGGAATACAAGGTTATAATTATAGATAAGAGTATTAAGTGTCTTAAATTACTTGCTCTTTCAATGTAAGTTTTATTAAAATATTTATATGTGTGTTTAAACTTTTTAATGTTACATTTCTGTATTTGATTTCCTAATACTTTCTCGATTTACAAGTTAGCTAAGTAATTTACAAGTAAATGTTCATGAAATCATTAAATATGATTTCTATTTGACTATTGTACTTTAGACGAAGGAAACCCTGGTGGCGTTGTGGTTAAGAGCTACAACTGCTAACCAAAAGGTCGGCAGTTTGAATCCACCAGGTGCTCCTTGGAAACCCTATGGGGCAGTTCTACTCGGTCCTATAGGGTCACTATGAGTTGGAATTGACTCAACGGCAACAGGTTTTGGATTTTTTTAGAAGAAAGTTTACAGAACAAACTAGTTTCTCATTAAACAATTAATACACATATTGTTTCATAACATGGGTTGCCAACCCCACAACATGTCAACACTCTCCCTTTCTCGACCTTGGGTTCCCCATTACCAGCTTTCCTGTCCCCTCCTGCCTCCTTGTCCGTGCCCCTGGGCCGGTGTGCCCATTTAGTCTCGTTTTGTTTTATGGGCCTGCCGAATCTTTGGCTGAAGGGTGAACCTCAGGAGTGACTTCATTACTGAGCTATAAGGGTGTCCGGGGCAAAACTCCCGAGGTGTCTTCAGTCTCTGTCAGACCAGTAAGTCTTGTCTTTTTTGTGTGTGTGTGTCTTAGAATTTTGTTCTACATTTTTCTCCAGCTCGTCTGGGACCCTCTATTGTAATCCCTGTCAGAGAAGTCGGTGGTGATGGTAGCCGGGCACCATCTAGTTGCGCTGGACTCAGTTTGGTGGAGGCTGTGGTAGTTGTGGTCCATTACTCCTTTGGTCTGATCTTAGAAAGTGTATTTATTTTGTTCTTTCTCTGATACAAGTTTTGAAGTATCTTTAAAGAGTATCTTGACTGTTGTTCAAATGTATGAATATTTCCCCAGAACTAGTGCACACTTTTCATATATTACATTTCACCATTCAGTGAAGTACTAAAATTCTGAAACATAATAAACTCAGCATTTGCCTTCAAATTTGTACAATCTTGCCATACCAAAAATGTAAGAGTAGTGTGTATCTTATTTGTATTTAGTTTCAGAAGGCACCATTGTTCCTTTTTCTTTCAAAGTCATTGAATTCCTTATAAATAATATAGTTTATTATGAGAGAACCTTAGAGCCTTAGAGTCAGATTTAAATGATGAAATCATGGTAGAGACTTACTTCAGAAGAATCACTGGAAATTATCAAAGCTGATTTGTAGACACTGGTTGCTTTTACTTAAAAAAATATAGAAGATAAATTTGTCCAAATTATTATCTAAATTTCTGAAAATATATAATTTGATTTAAAATAGTTTGACCTAATTTTTTAGTGTATGTATATGCATACAGCACATTTCATAATACAGATAAGTTAGCTGACCAAATGCTCCCTATTTCCTTCTTCTCTTCCCCATTCCATTTCTATAACGTCACCAGCTCCTGTTGTTAGGCAATACCATAATGGAAAGAGTACTCAGCTTAGAGTTAGAAGACTAAGGCTAAGGCCTGGCTTAACTGCGTATGATTTGTGTGTCATTAGGAATGCCACTTTTCTGAGCTTCAGTACTCTCATCTGTATAATGGGGATGATTGTGCACACCTTTAAGGGTTATTGAGAGGATCTAAAAAGACAATGAGCGTGAATATGCTCTTTAAACACCAAAGCAGTCTCTCTTAAAGTGCTAATGGTAGTAATGTGTGTGTGTGTGTGTGTGTGTGTCTGGGTGTCTGGGTGTCTGTGTGTCTGTGTTTATAACTATATTTCAATGTGTGTTGTTGGTATGATGGGGAGAGGTTGAGCGCTTTAGAGTCAGACATGAGTTTTAATTCTGACCATGTTACTTAAACTCACTAAGTCTCATCTGTAAAATAATAAAAATAATACTAGTTGTATTATTATATTAGATGCTAAAACAGTGTCTTTTACATAATAAATGCACAAGAAATGTTTTTACTGCCCCCCTTCTTTCTCATTTAAATAAAAAAAAATTGAAGGCTTAAAAAGTAGTTTGACCTAACTTAGTTTTTAAAATTAAGACCAGTGGAGTAAGTTTTCATTATGGTGTCTTGCTTTGATTCAGTATGAATCTGCATTCTGTTACTTGCATCAGTCCCTTTTGAGGTCTCTCATTAAGTCGCCAGCGAGCTCTGTTTGTGTCTAATACCAGTTTTGTTTCAGGAGAGCTTCCTGCCTACGGCCAAAAAGATCCTTTAAATATAAGTGGAATTAGCTGTAGATTACATAAACATAATGTGTGAAACATCTTTCATATTCCCTTCATGCAAGCAAATATGAGACGGAACCTCATTTCTAACATGAAATGGGACAATGTATCCAGGGACCTTGTTTTTTTTTTCTATAACACATGGATACATTCAGCTTACCTAAGCTTTTCCAGTCATCCCAATAGGACACTTTTCTCTATGGCTCCTATTATAAATTAATAGTGAAGTGTCATTGGAACAAAGTTGTCTCTTGTTCTGGCACACAACAGGTTGGGTATCCCCAAGAACTTGTGTATATATTTGGATCCTTTAGGATGAAGTACAAAAATCACGAGAAGAAAAAAGTTTCCATTATTTAACTGTTTTTCTCATTGAATAATTAGAAATGCCGTTTTCAGACCTGAGCATAGAAACCCTTTGTTAATCATCACTGTGTATTAGATTTGAAGCAGTCAAAGAAATTATAAATGATATTCATCAATCAATCAAGAAGATTTAAAGACAAAAGTTGATCATTTTCTTGCTTATTAGTGTTTCTTACCCATGAGGCATTGGTGACCTTTGAATTTTTATATAAAAGTGCTTGGGGTAGGGGAAAAATTGGGAGAAGGGATGACTGGGAGACTTGCTTTGAAGCTGTGTTTGCACAGCAAGCAACACTGTTTTTTCTTAGATTGTTTTATTGTTCTGGGGAGTTTTTTTTACAGATCAATAAAAATAGCAATGTTTTTCTAAAGGTGTTTTTATTCACAAGTCGTATACAAGTTTTTCTATTAATTGTTTTTTGGTGATGACTTCAGAAACCATGAGGGGGCCGCTATGAGTCAGAATGGACTCACCTCCCTCCCAATCACCAGTTGGTGGCCACATTGTTAGAAGGTAGCAGTCTTCACACAATCTGGCAGTCATGAAGCAAGGCAGAGGAGAGGACACACTGCTAAGGTGTAGCCCCACCCTCTTCCTACATCGGCAAGGACTATGCATGACCTGTTGCCGCACTAGTTTTGTGTCCTCTGCAGAGTCTAATGCATACTAGGTAATAATAGGTGCTCTGTGCTAGGCTAAGTGGTCAACATGATTTGTTTTCTTTTAATTCTCACAACAATTCTAGCAGAAAGGTAGGTATTATTCTCCTCATTTTTAAGAGGAGGAAACTGAGGCTCAGAAAATTCAAGTTTTTTACTCATACCAGGAAGTGAGGAGGTAGAATTCAAACTCAGACTCACTGTCTCCAAACCCTGCACCCATCACTAACTACTGCTTTTGTCCTCCCCTGATGGAATACAGATTTGCAGTTGCTGAGCATCAGTCAGTGGAGAAAGCAAGCCAGGATCTCTGAGGCATATGATTTTGTGAGGTTATTTAAATTCCAGGTTTTGTTCCCAAACATGATTTTCAGAATGTTGAAAATTTCAAAGCCAGATGGTCTTTCATTTCCATTGATGTTGCAGCCTGGAGCCACGAAACCAACCTCTGATTGAACAAGGACAGACATTTGACAGGGCAGTGAAAATTAAGCCTCCCCACCCCAATGCAGCATCTGCTTGAAGGGCAGGAAAGTAAAAGCAGTGTTTAACAATTTCAGGTCTGGGTAATGTGGTTTGGTCTTCGTACCTTCACTCAGGTGGAGCCCGAGAAGTTGAAGACACTAACAGAAGGTTTGGAAGCCTACAGCAGAGCCCGGAAAAGGAACAGAAAGTAAGCCCCCCCTTTCTTTTTCCTTTTTGTTTTTCAAGGATATAATTTACTGGTTTTCACTCAAAGGGATAATGAAATCTCACTGATTTTGTCCATCCTGTGGCCTGCGTAAGTGCAGTTATCACCAAAGAAGACCATTATACACAAGCAGAATTAGCTATTCCAGAAAATATTTTCTGAACATTTTGTTTATATTGTGTGTGGGATGTGCCTCTTCAAAAGCTCTTTCCTCACTCCCCCCATCTCCATTCCTCTCATTGAGTGAGAAAGAAAATATGATTAATATTCACAATGTGTAGCAATTAAAGTCTTTGGAAGTGTAACAAAAATATTTATTTGAAACTCAAATACTTTGGGGAGAAATACCCCTACTTGTACACATGTAAATAATTATGGCAGTTTTATGTATCAATTATTATTTCATATTAAGAGAGAATACAAATGTACTTCTGTATATGTGTATGAAAAATTATTTAGAAATATATAATTGACATACCCTTTCAGTTGCTATAATCCACCTTATCAAACTACCAAGAATTGAATATTAATTAACTTCGTTCATTTATAAAATGGTCATCACATTTCTCCCCAAACATTGACACATAGGCTTAATATTTTTGTATTTTACCATCTTTTAAAAAATATCACTTTACCTTTTGCTTCTGCACCAAGCTTTACAAAGTAGAGATCAGAATGATTAGCAATGTATTTTTGTATAAAATGGTTATATAATGACATCACTAATATCTGTTAAAGGCTCTCTCTTTTTGTGGTGTCTTCAATATTTCCTGCCAGAGGCAAAATTTTAGAAAATAAAAAATCTTGGGAAGAGTCTCTTCATCTCACTTGTTGTAGTTAGGAGTCGTTGAACCACTTCTGACTCCTAGCGACCCTATGTACAAGAGAAGGAAACACTGCCTGGTCCTGCGCCATCCTCACAATCATTGCTATGCTTGAACCCACTGTTGCAGCCACTGTGTAAATTCGTCCCTTTGAGGGTCTTCCTCTTTTTCACTGACCCTCTATTTATCCAAGCATGATGTCCTTCTCCAGGGACTGCTCTCTTCTTCTTCTTTTTTTTTATTGTACTTTAGATGAAGGTTATAGAAAAAACTAGCTTCTCATTAAACAGTTACTACACATATTGTTTTATGACACTGGTTAACAACCCCACAACATGTCAACACTCTCCCTTCTCGACCTTGGGTTCCCTATTACCACCTTTCCTGTCCCCTTTTCTAGTCCTTGCCCCTGGGCTGGTGTTCCCCTTTAGTCTCGTTTTGTTTTATGGGCCTGTCCAATCTTTGGAGGAGAGGTGAATCTCAGGAGTGACTTCATTACTGAGCTAAAAGGATGTCCGGGGGGCCATACTCTCAGGGTTTCTCCAGTGTCTAGCAGGCCAGTAAGTCTGGTCTTTTTTTGTGAGTTAGAATTTTGTTCTACGTTTTTCTCCATCTCTGTCTGGGACCCTCTATTGTGATCTGTGTCAGAGCAGGACTGCTCTCTTCTGATAACGTATCAAAGTAGGTGAGATAAAGTCTCGCCATCCTTGCTTCTAAGGAACATTCTGGCTGTACTTCTTTCAAGACAGATTTGTTCATTCTTCTGGCAGTCCATGGTATATTCAAAATTCTTCACCAACACCATAATTAAAAGGCATCAATTCTTCTTCGGTCTTCCTTATTCCTTGTCTAGCCTTTGTGTTCATATTAAAAAAAAAACAAAAACCAAGCCCATTGCTGTTGAGTCAATTCTGACTCATAGCGACCCTGTAGTACAGAGTAGAATTGCCCCCATAGGGTTTCCAAGGAGCAGTTGGTGAATTCAAACTGCAGACCTTTTGATTAACAGCCGAGCTCTTACCACTGTGCCATCAGAGCTCTGCATTCATATTGCGTGACTGAAAATACCATGGCTTGGATCAGATGTCAAAGTGACATCTTTGATGTTTAACACTTGAAAGAGGTCTTTTGCAGCAGATTTGCCCAGTGCAATACATTGTTTGATTTCTTGACTGCTGCTTCCATGGGTGTTGATTGTGGATCCAAGTAAAATGAAATTCTTGACAACTTCAGCATTTTCTTCAATTGTCATGATGTTGCTTACTGGCCCAGCTGTGAGGATTTTTTTTAATTTTTTTAAATTTTTTTTATTGCACTTCAGGTGAAGGCTTACAGAACAAATAGTTTCTCATGAAACAGAAGTACACATGTTGTTTTAGGACATTGGTTAACAACCCCAGAACATATCAACCCGCTAACTTCTTTTTTTTTGGTGAAAATACACATAGCCAAAGATACACCATTTCAAAAATTTCTACATGCACAGTTCAGTGACATTGACTAC